CCAGGTGCTGAGAGTGGCATCTGCCTGATGTATTTTACATTCAAGCAGCCAGAGAACCGCTGGTTATCCTTTATGTCCATAGACAGCCTTCTGGGTGCTAAGGGGAGCTCTGGCCCTCATAATATAAAACTCAACTTAATTTACCATCTATCTAAATGAAGAGTCACTTCTACAGGTTTGTTCAGAAGATTCTGTGTCCCATTGAAGACCTGAGACATTTAAGCCAACGCTAAGGGTAGCAGGCCTCTTGAACAGAGGAACCAATCTTCCCTTCAAAGTCTCTTCAGCCTCAACTTACTGAAAACACTCTAGGAAAGAGCTGGGGGCACAAAAAGTCACAATTTAAATTTGATATCAAAGGATTTTACTTTTATGATAAGTATGTAATAAGTATGCAAGGATGACAAGAAACGTTATAATAAACATGAAAACTAGCTGATTACAATAGATATTTTGAAATTATTAAATTATATGACAAAGCTTAAGTAAGTCTTACATTTATATGGAAATTATATAATAATAACATAGATTAACTCTTCTTCCTGTTTGCCAAATCTTCTTATTGCTAATAATTGCAACCCAAATTGGGTGATTTGCTTCCTAAAAAGTCATAGTTATACATATTTGTTATCCTAATGATACCATTATATACCCAAAGAGAACCAAGCTAGATCATTTTGTGACTTAAACCCTTGTCTATGAATTAATGTATGGTGTCAAAAAAAGGAAAAATTTAAATACTTTTCCCAATCTTTTTTTTTTTTTTACCAAGAGGCAGTTTTCCTGGAAAAGAATGATAAAGCTCATAACAGATGTAGGGTTATTAGATTTCAGATAATGCAAGCAAATGAAATGAAATGTATTTATTTATGAACAGTAAAAAGTAAAGTTTGGTACATGGAGTACATTTTGAGGATGTACTGAAAAATGAAATTAGAAAAAAAAGCAGGTATGATTTATATTACATGGTATATTTAAAATAATACTTATTGAAATTTAATTATTTGAAGTATCTATTTTGAACTAACAAAGGAAACTAATGGTAAAGTGTATTAGAGTTTGCTTTTGTGATTTGAATAACAAGTAGCAATCTACTTAATTTTTAAGTACGTTTTGTTCATTTAGATCCTGGGATAACTATGAGGAATGTTTTCTCATAAATACGAGAGACTTCTGGGGGATTTTTATACTCATAAAGTACATGCTTAGAATAAGCTTGCAAGTCTCAGCAATAAAGCAAACTTTAATTTGAATATTCTCCTAAATTATTCAATTAAATGAAAATACCTCATAGATCCTTGTTAAAAAAAAACAGTGGAACAATGTAATAAGTGTTTGTTGAAGATTTGATCAGAAGGCAGTGAAGACATTACTGTATCAGTGCTAAATACATTGAATATATATATACAAAGTTTATAAAGAAAAGCAGTATAGACATTGATTATCATTTTGGTGAGGCATCAGTGAGTAATGATATGGTATCAGTATTTTAATTCATACTTGATTGGGGAGTTTAAAAACACAGATGAAATCCTATGGAAAAGTGCTGCCAGTGACAATTATAAACACTATAATTTAACTGATATTTTAATATGATCTTGTTATTCTAAGATCTCACCATCTAAAAATGGAAGGAATAAGAAAGTGGTTTCAATTGCAGTTGGAGAAAATTAGGTAACAAAATAAAATATAAAGGGCTTTAATATGGTTAAGAAATTAATAAAGAAAGGCAAAAAAGTTCTGGGAAATCCTCCCTGGAGATGTTTAAGAGCAAGATAAATGCCCATCTGTCTAGTATAGTTTTAGCATGGCTTGCCTAGAGGAAGAAGGGTAAGATCTGCTAATTTGCAAAATTTCCACAGCATCAATTTCATATTGTCAGGATGCTGCCTTGAGCATATTTAGCCAATCCACAAGATTAAAGTGCTTCCTGTGAAGAAAATCTTCTGATAACTGGAATTTGCTCTGAATAAGGCCTGAACATGATAAATCCAATAAGCCTATAGACGGTGCATCAGACTGGGCTTTTAGTGCTCTATAAAATATTGTTTTGATGCAACTAAAGCACATACTCCTTCTGCCCAGCCTTCTTTTTTCAATTTTCGTCTCTGAATGACTCGGAACAGTAGCCATCATGGCACCATGCAGGATTGTCAAAACTAAATTCATGCAGCACTGGAATGATAAATAGAATCAAGCACAGTACCTCTCCTTCCTATACTGAATGTTACTAATCGTAATAATGCTAATATTTGTGGGCTTTTATTGAGTCATTACCTGATGACTTATGGTTACCGGTTCATAACAATATGAATTAAAATTCACCATTAGATCGAATATATTTTACCAGATATCTTTTCAACTTTTAATGAGAAAACTAAACTCACCCAAAGCCCCATGAAAGCGGACAATTTTTCTGAACAATGTGGTTTGAACTGTTTTTTAATTACAGAAAAATGCCTTTTCCCTGAAAAATTTTATAAGATTGTAGCTATAATCCTAATAAATTAAATAAGCCCTCAGATGAATTGTGGCTTTACTATTTTGCTCTAATGGTCTTTCCCACTGTTCCCTGGAAGGCAGTAAAAACAGCAGGAGTAAATTCTAAGTTTGTAGAGCCTCTTTAATAAATTCAACTTCCTCAACCCTCTCCTACAACTATTCCCCATCACACAACACAAACCAACCTCCTCCAAGATTTCTTTATACTTCCTTTCAGGAACTCTTTCCTGCAGCAATTATTCCCTGATAATTACGAGCCATCCTTTCATCGTTTTCTTTATTTAGCACCTATAACACTTAATATCTTGTCTGTAAATCAGGGCCTTGTGTATATATTAATTTAGAAATTTCTGATAAATTTTCTTTGTCCATTTTGCAGCTCCATGTCTAAATGACCCATCATAGGTACCGGTCTCCCTTATCCATCTCCAATATTGCAAATGACCTTATATCCTACTTTCCTGTCTTCTTACTCTGCCTTTTTCAGGACTTTTTCTAGCACTTGATTAGTGACGACATGCAGAATGAAATAATATGTTCTATTTCATAGCATTTTACTGTTTTAAAC